CCTGTTGCCGTCTGACTCACTCTCTTTTTAGCCTCTTTCTCTCTGCGGTGTGCGGCGACGTCTCCCTGCCTCCTCTTCCTTTCTCTTCCTCTTTTTACCCTCCCTTCCCTCTTCTTCTCTCTTTTTCCTTCTCCTTCACCTCCCTTTTCTTTCTCCTTTCTCCTATTCATTTCTTTTTCTCCCCCTCCTCCTCCTCCTCATCCTCCTGGACCTTTTCGTTCCTCTTCTATCATTCGCCATCTCCTCACTCTCGTCCCTTTCCTCTTTTTTTCCTCCATTTCCTTCTACATTGCCTCCATCTCCTTCCTCTTTCCGTCTGCCTTTCTTTTCTCCTCCTCCCATCTACTTTCCTCTTCCTCTTCACCATTCCATATTCCCGCCCCCCCCCTCTCTCTCTCTCTCTCTCTTCTCTCTCTCTCTCTCTCTCTCTCTCTCTCTTCTCTCTCTCTCTACTCTCTCTCTCTCTCTCTCTCTCTCTCTCTCTTCTCTCTCTCTCTTTCCTCTCTTTTCCTCTTCTTTTCCTCTTCTTTCTCTTTTCTCTTTTTCCCTCTCTCTTTCCTCTCTTTCCCCTCTTTCCATTCTAGGTTCGTCGTAATCTTTTGAGTATTTTTCTCGTATGTATGGACGCGGGAACACTAGAATCTTTTATGGATGTGGTTTTATGCTTTACTGACCGATATTTTTCCTCTCGTTTCAGGCGACCATCGGCATCGACTTCCTGTCCAAAACTATGTATCTCGAAGATAGAACGGTACGTACCTTTGCTCGGCGTCCCTTTGCTTGGTTTTTGTTTTGTTTTGTTTTGTTTTTTCTTTCGCGGTGTCAGATTAGGAGTGGAGAGGGACGAGGCGGCGCTGGAGGAACACCGAAGGACACGCTGGATGCTCACTGGTTACACGCTCACGTAAACACATGCACAGGCAAACGGAGATAAACACTCGCGCACACACGGACACTCACTCACTCACGCACGACGCACACGCCACCGCAACACAATTTATTACACACACACATACTTACACACACACATACTTAACACACACACATACTTTACACTACACACATACTTACACACCACACACACTTACTTACACACACATACTTACACCACACACTTACACACACAGCACACACACACACCACACACACCACACACACACACACACACACACACACACACACACACAACACACACACACATTACATACACATACACACACACACTTACACACACACACACATACACACCACACACACACACACACACACACACACACACACACACACACACACACACACAAAACACACACACACAACACACCACACACAGACACACACACACACACACACTTACACACACCACACCACACTTTACACACACACGCACACACGCACACAGAGTACATGTTTTGTTTACAAGTGTAGTTGACTTAATTTGCTTATATAAATGCAGAGCATACACGGTCTGTACTCGAGTAGGTTTATGATTAGAGAATTTAAATAAGTATTTTCGGATGTTCATTATATCACTTCGAAAACGAAAAGAACACGCTGATGGTGATTATCGTGAACGGAATCTTTGAATGATCATTAAGTCCATTTTATTCTTGTCTATTAATTCTTTTTTTTGCGAATAATAGTTGTTCTTTTAACGAAGTGCTAGTTATCACGGGGAAATTTCCGATGCCGTGTTCCTTCCCTGGGGTGAAAATGCCAGCGGACTGATCTCGGCCCATCTCAGGTTCCCCTTTCAACCGTAAATAGCAAAGGCAACATAGGAATTGGTACATTCTCTTCGTCTTTCCATTCGTTTGAGCGGTAATAGCGAAAATAGACAGAGGGAGATATAGATCCAATAAGATGGAGGGATAGATAAAGATATGCAAAGCAGATAGATAAAAAAGATGTACAGACAGAGCCGTAGACTGATAGGATTGTAGATAAATGGATAGATAGATGGAAAGATGAATAGATCGAAAGAGGACAGCGTGATACATTCTCTTCCTCTTCCCAATCGCTTGAGCGTTAATGGCGCCATTATCGGACTCGGTAGGCTTCGGAGTGACTCATGCATAGAGGCCGCGGGTAATTGTGTTTTCGTCATTCGTAATGGCGCGCCGGCCCCGTACCGTGAAATTATTGAATGTCGCCGAGTGGGAGAGGGATTACCTTGACGGTTTGGTGCGCATGACGGCGGGCAAATCTTCCGCGTCTGGATAGCGTGACGTCACCGCAGGTTTCCCGCCTTTTGTGTCTCGTTTTGTATTGAGTTACTTTGGTTTGTCACGGATGCCTCGTGCGCCGTGGGAGGCGTAATGATGTGTGGGCGATGCTTTGTATTATGCATGCTCCCTCGGTGAAAGGCGAGCTGTCGTATTCGACAGGCATTTTCATATGGGAATTATACCTGCCGCTCTTTGTGGCGGTATGTCAAAGAAACCGATCGACACTTGACTGTTTTAGATGATTCAGTATCCTGCATATACATACACGTACACACGCACTAAATTACACATGAACACACATACAGGTGTGTGTGTGTGTGTGCGCGCGCGCGCGCGTACGTGCGTACTTGCTTGCGTGTGTGTTTGTACATTTATATATATACATGCATGCATGTGTGTATATTTATGCTTATATATCAAATATTTATAAAACCTACACGCACACAAATCGATTCTGTATCTCCTCATCGCCTGAGCATCTGCATGAGCTGAATCTCGGGCGGCCGGCGTCCCTCGACCCAAGTCCGCGCGTCTCGTCCCTCGACGGCCCCAGTTCCAATTTAAAAATTCGCCGGATGTAAAACCACTTCCCTAAAGGCGTCCTTCGGGAGTACTTACTAAGCTCTTGTTTTAACGAGGGAATGATGCACTATAGAGAAGGAGAGGAGTAACCGAATGCAACCTGTCCGATTAGCATTATTGCATGTTGATAATCAGTCCTAATGATCATTACCAATCTGTCACCGTAGCTTCAGCGTATTCTTCACCTTAAAACCAAAAAGGAATAAAGGTGATCGCAACAGAGGAAAACTTTGCTGGTGTTAAGGAAAAAACATCCCCAGTTGATGCGATTTGCCCTACCTGTCCTACCTAGGTACTTGCCTAGCTACTTGCCCACCTTCGCTGATCCAGTCGAACCTCTCACACCTTGCCCTTGCTCGGTTCTTGAATCACAATTCATGGTACTACGAAGCACTATGTATATTGCCGGCTGACAGGAGTGAGGGCGGGAGCGACCGGGTACGTGTTGAGAGGGAGAGGGAGGGAGGGAGAGAGTGAGCGAGGGAGAGGGAGGGGGAGGAGGAGAGAGAGAGGGAGGGAGGGAGAGGAGGGAGAGACAGAGAGCGGAGGAGGATGTAGGCGAGGACGAGGAAGGGAAGGAAAAAGGGAGGAAATGTGAAAGGAAGAGAGGGGAGTGTGAAGAGTAAAAAGAGAAAGAACGGGTGACAACAAAGATAGCAGACTCGAGAAAGACTGGAAAGTGTTTGCAAGAAAAACATGAAAAGAGGATGGACCATTAGCGATAGAGATGAGGGAAACATTTATTGAAAGAGGAGAAAATGAGGAACCATAGAGAAGAAGAAAAGGGGGAAGGAGAAGACGCAGTCCAAACAAAAATGAATGAGGGACGTCTGAAAGAGACTGAATCACGATACAGGGAAAGAGAGAGACGGACAGGGAGTGGTTCTAAGCCGGTGCACCAATAGGAAGAGAGCTTACAAAGCGGTCTGGAACGAAGGGACGGAGGAGGAAGTGGGAGACGAGAGGCGGTGGGGGGGGAGGATAACGGAGAGAGGATGGGGTGGAGGAAGAAAGGAGAGGAAGATGGAAAGAGAGGGCGGGGGGGAGGACAGAAAATGCGGGGAACTGGAGAGAAAGAGAGAGTAGTGGGCGGAGGGAGGGAGGAAAAGGAAATAGAATCGACGAGAATTGACGCAAATTAGCCTACACCGCGACGCTGGGCCCCCGCGAATGAGAACCCCGCAGCACGGGCATCTCGACCAGAAGGGTAGTAAAACACGTAAGGCACTGCGGTCGAGCAAAGCCCTACCCACCTGCGCCTCTCCGAAAGCTTTCCCATGAGAGGAGACTAACCCCCCCCCCTCCCTCCTTCAATTTATCCCCAAAGGGCGTCTGCCATCCTCTCTCGCAGAAAGGTTGGCGAGAGAGGGATGCTTAGCGAGTGTCAATCGGGAGGGCATTCACGGACAGTGCCAGGTAGGAGTATGAAAGGGCTTGTAGTATTGAACAGCTGTGTACACAGACGTGTGTAGGAGAGGTAGGAGAGGTAGATTAACACGAGAGAGGAGAGAGAGAGAGAGAGAGAGAGAGAGAGAGAGAGAGAAGAGAGAGAGAGAGAGAGAGAGAGAGAGAGAGAGAGAGAGAGAGAGAAAGTGTGAAATTGGTTTCATTCAGGTGGACGTAGACATATCCTTGGAGGAACATGATTATTTACCTGATGGGTGATACGAACGTTGGCCTTACCGTCCAAACTTCGATCACAGCTGATGCCAGCACTCACAGCTGAGCCTACTGGGAACAAATCGCTGGGCGTTGCAGTAGTGGTTGCACAGCCAGTGCTCTACCACTGAGTAAAATACCTCGTGCATACGCACAACACTAGCACACAACACGCACATGCACATAACGCACACACATGCACACACACACCACACACACGTATGCACACGCACGCACGCTGCACCACAGGAAAATTACATAGATGTCAAGTGCAACTGCAGAGAAGCAGGCTATTACAAGTACGAAAATTGTAAACCATCAAAATGGGGTTTATCACACTAGGATGTAAATTATAGAGAAAAATTGTGAGGCCATATACGGCGTTATGGGTAATTAAATACCCTACGAGGCAATTCGAGGAACTAGAAATGAGATAAAAAAAAAAAAAAAAAAAAAAAGCATATCGAGTTTACTCCCTCTGGTTATGAACTCATTTACATCATCCCAGCTAGCTTGTGGACATTGCCCAAAATAAACATGACATTACCCACAACACCCTCCTGATGGGTATTCCGAGTCAGACACTTCTCTCGCTGGACTAGCTTGACCATTCGACGACACCATGGCAGATCTCGCCATCAAAACATTACTTATGGTGGCAGTGGTGGGATGGAGGTCTTTATTTTGCAGTTGGTGGACAGGTTACTTTGGTTATACTGCCTTTCTCTTTCTCTCTCTTTCCCTTTCTTTTTCTTTTCTTTTTCTCTCTCCTCCCTCCTTCGCTCTCTCTCTCCCCTCCCTCTCTCCTTCCCACTCTCTCCTCCCTTCCCCCCCTATTCCCTCCTCCTTCCCTCCCCTCCTCCCCTTCCCCCCTTCCCTCTCACCCCTCCCTTCCCTCCTTCTCCCTCCCTCCCCCTATCCTTCCCTCCTCCTCCCCCTATCCCCCTATCCTTCCCTATCCCCTTCTCCCCCTCCCCTATCCTTCCCTCCCTGCTCCCCCTCTCCCCTACTCCCTTCCTCCCTCTCCCCCTCCCCTATCCTTCCTTCCTCTCCCCCCTCCCCCTATCCTTCCTCCCTCTCCCCCTCCCCCTATCCTTTCCTCCCTCTCCCCCTCCCCCTATTCCTTCCTCCCTCTCGCCCGCCCTCCCCCTACCTTTCCTTCCCTTCCTTTCCCTCTCCCCTCCCCCTATCATTCCTTCCTTCTCCCCCCGTCCTCCCCTATACCTTCCTCCCTCTCCCCCTCCCTATCCTTCCCTCCCTCTCCCCCTCCCCCTAATCCTTTCTCTCTCTCTTCGTCTCTCTATCCTTCTCTCTCCTCTTCATCTCTTCCCTACCTTCTCCTCTTCTCTCTCCCTTTCCTCCTCTCCGTCCTCTTCCTCCCTCTCTCTCTCTCCTCCTCTCCCTACCATCCCCCTCCCCCCTCCCCACCCCTCCTAGCATTCCCGCTGGTCCCTTGTCATTTTCGTTCTCACTTCCTCCCCCATTCTCTCACGCGATTCCCTCCCCGCATGACACCGGTCCTGCAGGAGTGCGCAGCTCGTGGCAAAGCGTGGGACAGACGATGACTTGTTCGCAGCAGCAATATATATCCCCGGCGAGATCGATGTAGGTTTAGTGGCGTCTCCCTGCTGTAGATTCGCCCCGCTCTCCCCGCTCTTCTCTTTTCCTCTCTTGGGGTGTGCTTTCTGCTCTTTAGCCCTCCTCTTTATTATCTCGGGTCTTCCCTGTCGTCCCGTCTCTCTCCTCTCCTTTTTTTGTGTTCTTTTCTGTTTTCGCTTTCGGTTTCTCTCGTCCTGCTCCATTCCCCTTTCCCTCCTCTCCCGCTCAATTTCCTTTTTTTATATATCTTTTTTGTTTTCATGATCGTCTAATAGATAGGTAGATGAATGGGCATAGACATTGTGCTCATTTAAGTGTGTATTTGAAATGCGTTTGGGAATAGCTCGCGACGCCGGGCTTGGAACTGAAAGGTTATCGAAGGCTCGGGAGTGGGGCGAGCAGTTGGGTGAAACGGAGCGGCCATCGGGAGCGGGGAGGGGCCGCCGGATGGATGGGGGAGGGAAGTGAAGTCGACGTTTAGGGGGATGAAGGTGGAAGATGGATGTCGATCAAAAGCTAGATGTATGCTGGAATTGAGGGGTAGGATGGATAGAGGAGGGGTAGGGTAGGAGGGGTTCAAAAGGTTGGTCAGGGGAAGGACAGGGAGAACGCGAACGCGAGCTCGCGGTCAACAAGAAAGGGAACGTAGGCAAAACTGGAGGTGTAGAGCCAAGGAGAGGAAAGGAAGAAACAGGATCAACGCGAGTAGTAAAAGCAGCCTTGGGGAGGGGGGGTTGGGGGGGAGCTCTTTCCCTGACCGAGCGGTAGGTAGTTTCCCCCCTCAGGTTTCCCTCCGAGGCTTCCGTAATTAGATTAGGTCGCCTCCCCAAAGGAGTTGCTTTTATTTTATTCAACGTGATCCTCGGCGCGTGTCCTCTCCGCCTGCGCCATCATCCGCGGGCGGCGTGCTCCCCTCCCCTCGGGCCGCGACATGAAAGCGTCAAGACGGGGCTCGGCGTCGTCACGGCGCCAGGAGTTCATCGCCCCGTCTTCGCTGCTCTTCACGCTCCTACATATTTCGTTACAATTCACTACCGCCGTCCTGGACTTTAAATACAGCGCTTCAACAGCGGCTCCGCTACTCTTCATTACCCCTTAGCAAGTACCCGGCACTGGGTCACCCCATTCCGTACCATTTCCATCGCCCTTGACCAGCATCGCCGCAACCATAGAGCGCCCCATTACCGCAATCACAACTGCATTCCGTGTCACGCAACCTTCCGTTTCTCCACAACCACGACAGCCGCCACTGTTCCACCATAAGCCACCTCGCCACAAGTCCACTAACCCTCCTGTGCAATCCCCCACACCTCTCGCCTTCTCTTTATCGCCGTTGCCGCTACACACTGCGCCAGCAACAGCATACCCACTAATTGTTGCCTTTATTGCAACGCTCACCGTACCCTACTTTCCGATAGCAAGCATTGCAGCGGCAGCCATAACTATTGATGTGCCCGCCAACCCCACCCGGGGGCATAAAAGCTAAGATAGACTGGCGCGGAATTATCGAAAAATCATTTTACTGTGACTATTTTTCCTTCCCGTGGGAAATTATTATTTTTTCCTTTTTCCAATTTCCTCATTGAATATGGGTCTGTACCGTCCTCTCCTGTAAATAGGAAAATGTCAGTTGTTATTTTTTCTTATGTAATAGATTACTTTTCATTGATTTTATAGCTGAACACATTTCATGAGCTTCAATGGTCCATTGAACTGCAATTAACAGACAAAAGATATTGGCATTGTAAAATGTTTCAAGATTTCCATGTTGTGCAGTAGTTTTACACACATACATATACACACATATATATATACCTACATTTGTGTAAAATGCAGCCTAAGCACATTCTCAAAATTAGTTATGATGAAGGCCTGTCGTTGCTTTTGAAAGCGCATTATCATGTTCAAGACTACTTTCAATGCCATTACTGGGTGAAAGCAATTGTAGTTCCATTACACTATTTAAGTCTCACATGAACATCCCCCCCCCCCCCCCCCCCCCACCACACCAGCACACACTTGTACACACACACATTACACACACACACCACTTTCATCACATTACACACACACACACTTTTGTCACATTACACACATACTTTCATCACATCACATCACACATACACTTTCATCACATCACACTTTAGGACTAGACAGAAAGATGTTTTTGGCCATTATAACCCACAATAACTTGTTGTAGAGGTAGAGAATTAGTGATTCATGCAATAGAGGTAGCCATCTTTAACACACACACACACATTATATAATATATATATATATATATATATATATATATATATATATATATATATATATATATATATATATATATATATATATATATAATTTTTTTTTTTTATTGAAGTGATTGCCCACACAAAATAGCCACTAAGTCCTTCCTTTCCTACAGGTACGGCTCCAGCTCTGGGATACTGCAGGCCAGGAAAGGTTCCGCAGCCTTATTCCCTCATATATCCGAGATTCTACAGTAGCTGTTGTTGTGTATGATATAACAAGTGAGTGCATTAGTATTAAATGTTCATGTTTCTTATATATTTCCAATGCATGTAATGAACCTGCTGTTTTATTCAATTTATAAGATGGTTTTATATTTTTACTTCTTTATTTTATGTTATTTTATTTTACTTATATTTTCTTCTCTTTTTCATTCCCATGTCAAAAAAAACGTTGTAACAATCTTATTTACATTTCTGTTCTTTTCCAGATGCAAATTCCTTCCACCAAACCTCTAAATGGATAGATGATGTGCGAACAGAGCGAGGCAGTGATGTAATCATCATGCTTGTAGGCAATAAGACTGATTTGTCAGATAAGAGACAGGTAAGGAAATTACAAAGCCATGCCTGCCATGCCTCTCTCTCTCTCTCTCTTCTCTCTCTCTCTCTCTCTCTCTCTCTCTCTCTCTCTCTCTCTCTCTCTCTCTCTCTCTCTCTCTCTCTCTCTCTCTCTCCCTTCTCCCTCTCCCTCTCTCTCTCTCCCTCTCCCTCTCCCTCACTCCCTCCTCCTCTCTCTCTCTCTCTCTCTCCCTCTCTCCTCTCTCTCTCTCTCTCCTCTCTCCTCTCCCTCTCCCTCTCCCTCTCCCTCTCTCCTCTCCCTCTCTCTCTCCCCTCTCCCTCTCCCTCCCTCTCCTCTCCTCTCCCTCCCTATCCTCTCCTCTCCTCCCCTCCCCTCCCCTCTCCCCTCCCCTCCCCTCCCCTCCCTCCCCCCTCTCCCCTCCCCTCCCCTCTTCTCCCTCTCTCCCCCTCTCTTTTTTTAGTGTACCTGCAAAAACGAATGAAAGTTGTGTTTTGGAATCTCCTGAATGTGGGAACTGTTTCAGTATTGGATTTTTCAAAGTCCTGTGCACATGGGCCTTTAAGTGTGGATTAATTTCCATTACTCATTGTTGTATCACAATTATAGAAGGCAGCAGAAAAGTATTAACAGATCTTTTAAAGGCTGGTTCATCTCTTCTTTGGCAACTGACTGACACCTTACGTTTTCCTTTACAGGTCTCCACGGAGGAAGGTGAACGAAAAGCAAAGGAGCTTAATGTTATGTTCATTGAGACTAGTGCGAAAGCAGGATACAACGTGAAGCAGGTAAGATGGAATACATTTTGTGTGTTTCACTTTGGGACTTTGGTGTTATTAGGAATACTAATACAGGTAGAGGAAGTTATTTTTATGTTTATTATAGAAGTTATCACAGATAAGGTTGCATACAGCCAGTCCTGGTTCTTAGTAGTTCTTGTTTGTCTTGTTTACTTTTTTGTTATTTTAGACATTGCTCATCTGAATGGAATCTTCAAGTCGCTGAGTTATTTGTAAAAGTTACCTTCAGAGATCTAATTTTTGTTCCTGCAAGATTTTCTCCCTTTCAAAATAATTATTAATTTTTAGATAAATAGAACATCTCCCTTTATGTCTTCAAATATTGTGAATTTTTAAGTATAATCTGTACATTAGTCATTTGTTTGGACTTGCCCCTGAATACATATCTTCCCTGCAGCTGTTCCGGCGAGTTGCTGCCGCTCTGCCAGGCATGGAGCCCACCGACAACAAGAAGGTTGACAGTATCCTTTTTCTGGGCTCATTATTTATATTTTCAACTTCTAGCATTTACAGTCCATCAACTCTATCCTTATCCTCAGCCTTAACACCCACGTGATATGGCATTTTGCATTTTCTAGCCCTACCCCGAAGTCAGCCAGTTTCACCTGTATCAAAGTCCCTAAATTATTGGACTTTCCCATTGCACAAAAAAGCTTGCAAAATTAACCCTATAGTGACTGAATTTGATCTGAATGATTTTCTGAATAATCATGGGCAGAGGAAGCCCTAGTTTCTTTATGCTCTTCTGCATCAAGATTTGTTAGTCATGAATACATAGTCGAGTTTAGGTGAAGCATGTTAAACTCAGTAGGAAATTATTGATCATTTTTATAATGGTTCTTTAACTACCTATTGGTACATACCTGTTGATGATATAATTGTTCTTTTGTTGTGTCTTCACATTAGTGAAGTCTCTGATCTACAGAAAATATTTTAGAAATAGTAAAAATGGCCATATGGTTTTATATTTTTTCTGTTTTAGATCATTCCCATATTTTTTAGATAGTGTAATGTTCCGAGATAGTCGAGTTGAGCTGCATACTGTTGAATTTGCTTTTTATGCTTCTTTTATTAACAAAACCAAAGCAAAATAGTTCCAGGATTAGTAATAAAAGAAGATATGAATGAAAAATAGAAATGAAGGATGAATTCGTATAGTATTTATTATGCATATTCATGCAGCAGAAGCAGAAGAGAATTAAGTTTCTACTAAGATACTTCCAGATCAAGTGTGTTTTAAGGCTTTTCAAAAGGGGAAGGAACATTCCATAAGCATCTTATTGACCTTCCATAATAATCTGCTCTCTTTTCTAAGCATATATGTATACCATATTCAGTTTATTTCCTTCTACTGCAAAATTTGGGCTCTAGTTGATATATGGTGTGTGTGGTATTAAAGGAAAGGATTACTAGCAGACTAACTCTTTCAACTAATTTTTTTTTTCCCCCCAACTAATATGGTCTGTATGTTTTTAACAATAGGTTTAAAATGGGAATATGGAAATGTCAGGATAGAAATGCTTTTATTTCCTTTCATTTAAGGCAACAGCATGGCGAGAGGTATGTCCAGTAGCTAGCAAAGTAGACATGTATTTAAAAGAACTAATTAGGCTCGGTCCACATCTCACCAGTGATAAAAGAGTATGACGCTGGACATTAGATATGTTTTTTTACTGGAAATGCCTGTGACTTTATGGTTACATTAATTTATTAATTATTATTTAGAGAAGGCATCATGCTTATTTTATTTTCTAATCAATGACTAGGATGCATTCCAGAGACTTGCTGGAGTTTTGTGTTTTGCCGTTTGCTTCAGCATGTTAGGTGTATTGGAAATTTATATATGTCATTGGAAAAGTTGAATGCTGTTTTATATGTTATATATATATATATATATATATATATATATATATATATATATATATATATATATATATATATATATATATATATATATATATATATATGCAGGCTTTATATTTATATATATTCATTAGATATATACTGACATACACATACACCTACAATTGCATGTACAAGCCCAGACACATACACAGCCAAGGAAACACGAGCACAAGCACAAACTCACACACACAAGCACACGCACACACACACACACACGCACACACACACACACACACACACACACACACACACACACACACACACACACACACACACACACACACACACACACACACACACACACACACACACACACACACACATATATATATACAAACAAGCACACCTGCAAGCTCACACTCAAGCACAAGGGCACACGTATAAGCATAAGGAAAGAGAGAGATTGGGGGGGGGGGGTAACAGACAATATGAATATGTACAAATATAGATGTAGATATAAAAGTAGAAACTATATATATATATATATATATATATATATATATATATATATATATATATATATATATATATACATAGACATTCTGTACATTGTTTATTTTTATATAACATGCACCTTGAGCAAGTGGAGGCTCCAAGATTTCATATGCATGTCAAGGAATCTAGTATTGTGCAATTTTTCTTCATCTTATTTTGATTTTGTTATTGCCCAAGTATATGTGTGCGCATACACACACACACACACACACACACACACACACACACACACACACACACACACACACACACACACACACACACACACACTCACACTCACACTCACTCACTCACTCACTCACTCACTCACTCACTCACACTCACTCACTCACTCACTCACTCACTCACTCACTCACTCACACACACTCACTCACACACACACACACACACACACACCACACACACTCTCACACACACACACCACTCTCACACACACACACACACTCTCACACACACACACTCACACACACACACACACACACACACACACACACATCACACACACACCTGCGGCAAGCGCGCGCGCACACACCTGCGGCTGTATGAAGTATATATGCTGCAAATTGAAAATATTGCCATTTTATTTTATTGCAAGGATATATGCTGTAGAGGAAAAGTAGTCACTTGTACATTAAGAAAGTAATAATCAAGTAAAGACATTCTTGGTTTATTTTTAAAAAGGCTGTATCTGAGTAAATTTCTAATATCTTTTTACGATAATTCTCTTTACTTATCATTTAACCTTTTCTTGAGATTATTAGATTGGCCTTTGATGAATGAAAAGCTCTTACCAGCTCAACAAAAAATATATAAAACGAGTTTTATTTTTGGTAAAGTGAGAGCCAGATTAGAATACTCTAGAAATTTTTAGGTAAATGACCTGAAGAAATTTTGACCTTTTGTTGCATTTAGCTTTGTAGGTAGTTTCAGTGCCAAGTTGGTTTGGAACTTTAAAAAGCAGAATAAAGTTAAAGTTGGTCTGTAATTATTTATTTCACAAACACTTTTCATCTATTTTATTTTTGTTATTGCTGTTGTTGTTATTATAGTTTTATTTTTTTTTATTTTTTTTATTATTACCTCATTGAAATGGTTTCCCTCCCCCTAGTTATTATAGAAATCCTTATCATTGACCAACTTTTCAAAGTAATGAAAACCCATATTATTTCATAGCAGCACTTAGGACTATATATGGAACTGAAATAATATTGTACCAAGAAAAGTGGAACGTAACTGTAACTGCAATGACTATTCTAAAAAAGGAGCAAATAGAGTTGCAGCGAGAGGTCTTTCAAGTCTCCTGGAACAAGCCAAGGTGAGTCACTGCTTCAGACGAATCATCCTGAAAACTGCTGTATGTTGTGGATGTCCTGCCTTGCAAAGAAAATTAATTAATGGATTAATTAATTTTTGAAAGATGAATAAAGCACGTGTATTTTGAGTGTGATGTGTTTGGCAGCATGTTGAGTTGCGTTGGTTGTCACCCCAAAGAAGCTCATGTGGGAATGTAGATGGTGTCAACTTGCTTCTTTCTTTTTTTTTTTTATTATTGTTTTTTTTTACTTGTAATGGACATGTTTCTAAGTTGCGTTATAGTGAGCACCATACCTGATTATTTTATTTCAAGTTTGTATTCTACAATGAAAAAGTGGAATGGCATATTTGCTTTCACACTTATCCTGTTTTCTAGTCATTATGATCTTTAGCAATAGATTTTATTTACTCTGAAAAAGAAATGAAAGTATTTGATAAGATTTTATATCAGTTATTTCAAGTCTAAGTGTTCTTTAGATTCAGCAAGCTGTAGCACCATTTTATTACAGATGGTATGCATGATAATTGTATATCCATTTATTATGCAATACATACTAGAATATTTATCATAATTTTCAAAATTAAATTTTCATGGATTTCTGATTTTAAGCTCAATAAAATATCTAGAAAAATTTGCCAAGATTATCATCAGATTAAACAATTGGAAATCAGGTATGGTCTACTTAATGTAACTTGGTAGCTTTCAGATGGAAATGTGATAATTTGCAAGTTAGTTTGCTATGTAAAGTTGTCTTGGTATGTTGCAAGTGGAGTTGAACTGGCATTCGCTAATGCTCGGCTCATGTGCCAAGAGCTGGTTGGCTAAACTCTTCATGATGGGACTTGCAGAGCTTTGCATTAGTGTAAACCAGCTTCTCACTAACTATTTTCACTCATTAATCCAAATGCCAGATTACTTTGGCTATTAACCCTAGTTTTTAGATGCACTTGAAAATTTTAAGACATTTAACACCACTGTTTCCAAACTTTTAACACATAATTACCAGTTTGCCACTATAACTCCACTTGATTTTTTTTCTTGTTATTTTGTTTTTGCCTGTGCCTATTTTTCCTTAATGATGTCTCTAGTGACCGAAGTTGTGCTGCGAGACTCCGAAAACGCTGCAGAAATCGGGCGGACAGCGGATGGTGGATGCGCTTGCTAAACATTAAAAAACAAAACAAGAAAGATAAGGCAAAATAAAACAATAAAAAGAGCATTAAAAGGAATAAAAAACACCCCTATCGGTTCTAACCGTTGCCACCTCCACCCACCTCACCTCACCGCCCAGCACTTCCGCCCATACTACCTGCCTGCTTCACCGGGCCACTACCACCATGGGGTTGCAAGTTGGGATTTGCCAAGGTTGTACCTTTAGCGTTCCAGCCAGCAAGCAGCAGCAAGGGATTGCGTGTTAGCCAGGCACCGTTGCATTTTACAATGATAGCTCTGTTCTTATCATATTCCATTGTATTTTAACGTAATAATTTAGGTTAACAACCCCCCCAACCCTCCCAACCCCATTTGTACCTCAGAGTGATGCAGATAGCACTGTTAGCAAGGGAAGAAAAAATATAAATTCCAGTTTATATATATATATATATATATATATATATATATATATATATATATATATATATATATATATATATATATATATATATATATAATGATTGTACTGCATATTACAGGAATTCTGTTGCAGCTGTTTCTTTCTCTGTTTATGTAATACCCTGTGTTTTTGTATAGATTGGATAGCTAGCTACTGCACTCTGTAGGAAAATCCCTTTGGAACTTCCATAGAACCCGGTGATGATTTGGCCAGTGATTGCCAAGTAAAGGCAAGAATGGTTGTTAGTACTTTGATAGTAAGTGATACTTAATACTGTTTAATTTTAGATTTCTCTACATAGTGGACCTTCAATGGTAACTCCAGTCTCTTCATTCTGTGTGTGTATATATATATATAAATATATATGTATGTATGGTGTCTCATATTTATGGTAATGTCTATTAGTGGCTTGTATTGATGCAGTCTTGATAGCCATGCACTCATGAGTGATGGCAGGGATAGAAACGTTTTGTTTTGTATACATAGTCATTACCAATTGCTGTCCAGCAGTGCTCTCTCATTATTGGGAGCAGATGCCTTGCTAAAAGTTGGGTTTCTTTGAAGGGATATTGATTGATGCTTTAATCATTATTTTTATATGTTGTGGAGACCAAATACAATCTCAAACCAACAGTAGCGTTTCATTGTCAGTTTGTGCATGGTATGTGTTTTGATTGCTACACTGTATAATATGCATGGCTTCCCCAAACTTGGGGGGAAATTCACTACAAAGCACTTGCAAAGGAGGTACTCAGACGCCTGGCAGCAGCAAGTCTCAAATGACATGTACAGGTAATGTATTTACATTAGTAGTTGATCTGCACACACAATATTAGGTTAGACATTAACCATTCAGATGTTTATTTAACTGTTAATTTGACTTAACTGATGCAGTTAATAGCTTCACTTTTAACAGGAATTATGAAAAGGGTCACTATACTTTATACAGTCTCAGGAAGGAAAAGCCAGTAACTCGACCCAAACTCAAGAGTACATCAATTTGCCAGTTCTGTTATAAGTAAAAATAATGGTGGTATTAAGGGCAGCAAATTTCATAAAATAATTTTTAAAATCTGCATAAGTTTGAAAAATCCAAAACACTTGTAAGAATTAGTTTGAATATAATTAGTCTGAATATATTTGTAATAGGCCAAGTAAAATCATGAAAGGAAATATCATATACCAAAGGCATTCCTAGAAAGATGACATATATACAGTTAATTGTGAATAGCTACAGTATTTTTTTTTATAAGATTATTATTATTATTTTGTTGACATTAGTATTAATTCTACTATTAAATATTTTTATTACATATTTTATGGGTAAGGCAAAGAATCACACTTTTTCCTTTGCGAGAAGGTAATATATTTTTTAAGTATCTTTGACTAGTAGTAAGATATAATACAAATATAACCTCAGTTTCTAGTGAAAAAATTATACCATTCAAAGGTAACATCTGAAAGGTGTAGATGAGAACGAATAACTTTTCAAAGCAGGAAGAACTATTTATTCTCATTTATGCCTTTTCATCATCTGCTGCAATAAGCTCTGTTTAAGGTAAAGTTTAGTATGTGATCAGTATATTTTTCAGTTTGGATTACATATGTTCCCACTGTGATATGAAGGTTTTAAATATCTTTTATTTTTTTATGCAAAATCTAGATATGTGATTATGAGTATTTAGAATATGGGAGGAAAAACTAATGTATCAGATTTTTTATGATACAGCTAAATCAACTTTTAATCCCCAAATAATATGATTGCTGTGAAGGTGTAAATGGATCAGTATTTTTCATCTCTTTCATAATTTCATGTAGTTAGTCTGTCATGAAAGGATTTCATTTAGATGGCAAGACTGATATTGTATAATTGTAGAAGATTTTACCGTATTTCTTTCCTTCTTCATAGATAACCTCCTAGATCCATATCTTTTAGAAACAATGCTGGCATACTAATAACGTACTGATGTTGCAGAGGACTTGTATAGCCTTTTCTGCCAATCATTTTGTGCCATGAAAGAAAAAAAAAAAAAAAAGTTGATGACCAAATAATTGAGTCGTAATCAGACTGGATATACCTTGTGTGTTCACTGTTCTCCTTAACTGAGTTCCAGCAGTCGACCTGCGCCCCCAGCCCCCCCCACAGGAGCAGCAACAGGACCAGGAGGGCAGTGGGTGTATATGCTAGGATGCGGCCTTCATGCTCTAGTCTCTCCACGTGTCCTCACACTTCTATCCTCCCCCCAAGCAAGACTACCACAGCATCCCATGTTGATATTGTTGTTTCTCTGATGCATTTGCTGTAGTTTGTATTATTATTATATATATTTTTTTATCCTTTTTTATTTTGGTAAGTGGATTTTGTTCATTAATATTTAATTACATATATGTATGTTTATATATATATTTATATATATATAATATATGTATATTTTTTTATTATTATTATTTATTATTATTATTATTATTATTATTATTATTATTATTATTGCACGAGACCAAGTCAGTAATTTGAGTAGTTTTCCTTCCAAGGCTGTTGTCCTTTCATCATTATCCAAAGTGGTATTTATCGCCTAACTGTTGGTGCTATTTTTTTTTCTTACTTTCTTTTTTCATTATTAAACATCTTCAGACTCAGTTTCTCAAATGATATTCAATAGTTGCCTTAAAAATGACCCTTTAATATTTAGGGGGTTCTGTTTTAAGGTGTCTGTTATATACTTTGTTGGCATTTTTTCTTCACATTGGGTGCTATGTGTTATTGTAAAAGAAATGACAGATTTCTTTCTTGTCTATTGCATTTTGGTATGAAATATATGTTTAAAAAAATGTTAATGTATATACTATTCTTTTTCATACACTTCTTTGACTTGTAAGTCTGTGTAGATTCACTCCCCTCCCTCCCTATTTTTTCTTTATTTGAATTGTTGATTTTTTAAAGATTCTTTTTGCTGGCATAGTTTATCTTGAGTTTCAGTTTTGAACGTCAAATTACGTGAACTTGTTACTTTTTCCTTTGTATATTTAACCCCTCCAGGAAGCACTCTTTGGTCACAACTGATGCTAACAGAAGAAGGGCCATGACATGTAATGACAAATGTGTTAAAACTGGCTAATAGTTAGGACTGGTGTCTGCAGTGACTGCCTCCAAAATCTCACAACGGGAACACCAGAAGCAGCACCTTCAGGAATCCAGCCTGTTGCTTGCATGTACCAAGAGCTGTTCTTTGTACCATTGAGATCTGAGAATTGTCAAAAACAGTTCATTGTGGCAGGTTTTATGTGGAGAAATATGGAAAAAGGAAAAACAGAAGAGCAATCATTGGACTCCTGACTGACCAACACTCTATGATTAACTTTTTTTCTTTTTTCTTTCACTTTTATTTGTACTTTGATTTACTCGTAATTTGAAAATAAAACTTTCTCAAGAGAAAAAGAATGCATACTCTACCTATTTTATGATAAAAACTATAATATTGGCACTTATTATCATCATATTATTGCAGTTATTATAATTGTCATTATTTTTTGTTTAAAAATTTATCTTTCTTATTGATAAAAGTGAGAGGCAGCCCCTTCACTGCACGGGAGAAACTGGAGCATAATTGATATACTGTAAGGATTTGGGGCTTTGAAGGAGCCTCATGACAGACACTTGCTCCTCTAAGGGAAGCAAGTCTATTTAAATTCCACAAACTTACTTTATTCTTAGGTTTTCATAAATTTCTACATTTTTGCAAATTTTGACTAAGGCTGAAACACACCAGATGACTAACAGAAAATTGTGATTTCAGTAATATATTAAGCTTTAATGTTCTATTTATGGGCTATTGCACTCTCCTAGATTCCATAACTAAGTAGTAACTTTCATTCCTGTACAAAAACTTGCATATATCTATCTATGTGCCTAGGATTTGTTCATCTTGGAATTGGCTCAATTGTACATTCTGTAAGAGAGGCATAACCTAACCATGTTTTATTACCTCCAGAGTTGTTTAATTGACAGGCTTTGAGGACAAAGACCTGTAGTGTCAAGAAACTGTGTAATTGTTTTATAAGAAATTGATGTTGCTGTTGGTTGTGTGGACACTTAAATCAGAAACTCACTAATGATAACAACACTTGTGAAGTGCTCAATTCTCATTATTGTTTTACTGTGACAATTGTTCCAGCAGCAACATGACAACCTGTGATTGCTTTGGATAGCACTCATAATTTTTACCAGTATGCCAGAGAGGTTCAGGGGCTGACCTTCCACGGCAAAAAGTTTAATCGGTTTGCTGTCACCATCGCAGAGCTGAGGTGGCTTTTTTGAACAACTCTTGGTAAATTGTTAGCAGTGATGAGTGTTACCTTGTTTGTGTGTATGTGCTCCCACAACTTTTGTTGGGGGTACTGAGGGATAGTGAATGATTCATTATGATTGGCTGTTGTCTTCCTGTTATGACCAAACATCTCCCTCACGCCTCAAACATTGGACTGTGGAAATAGAGTAGAAAGCACTTGGCTTCAGCATTTTCAATAGCAGAGCTTCTAGGTGTTAGCACATACATTCCCAAATGTTGTAGAAAATCAATACACTTGCATTGTGTGAAGAATACTGCTTATTCATGATCATAAAACTCTTACTTAGAATATTAACTAGGTTACTTTTAAAAGTAGGACATGACCACTACTTAATAAACATTGCTCGCTTCTTGGAAGTATACATTAAAATATTTAATATATCTTGATATATGTAGATAACCAAGCAGATAAAAGGTTGTATCTTGAATTAAGGGTCCAGATAGATTATATAAGGGTATTTCACCAAGAATGGACTCCTAAGGAAGAATTGAAATCACTTTAAGCAGAAGAGCTAAAAGGCACTCAGCACACACATCTTGCCCATTGGTGGGTTAGCAAATACATATATATCTATCTATATACAAATGATCAATTCTCTGACGGATCCTCTTTTTGACGAAATATTCTCAAAAGTGGCTTTAACCGGTTCAACCTTCTATTTATTTGCAATAGTATTAGTAATGTGTTGCTAGCTACCCATTTCTGGTAACCTTTCTCCAAAGTACATTTGATTCTGTGGATTGTCAGAGCCCTGAAGCTGCATAAGTGCTTTCAAATAGATGTACCTGTAACAAGGTAGGCAATACAAACCTGTTAGGGTTTTGGAAAATTTTTACAGTTGATTTGGGATTATGGACTTCTGGGATACTCACTTGCATTTTATGTACCTATCTCCATCAAAACTGAGCTGTTATATCATCTCTCAGCTGTTGGTAATCTGCTTATTGCCAGGTGTGTAGTTCTGAATATAAGTAAAGATGTTTTTCAAGAGAGAGGTTTCTTTCTTTTATGACACAATGCCCATAAATTTTGTTCCTTGCACATGGATCTGGAAATGAAAATAGAGAATAGAAATAAAATACATGAAAAATGAAAAGGAGATTCAAATTGTGCAGCTTTACATGCCATGAATAAGGAAGTTATAGTTGATGAACCCAGCATCACCTCCCAAACTATATATCAAAAGTGCTGAGTGAATCATAGCTCCACTGGACAGTGTTACAGTGCATTTCAGTTTGCTGAAGGCTTTAGAATTTATGCAAAGGAAACCATATTGCTTGTTCTTGACTAAAACAGATGTATTTTTTCCAAACGAAGGTAATGCCCCAGAGATTTCTTTCTCAAGATAGCCTAATAGTCTGCAATATCATTAATGATTTGATTCAGATTGGATCATGACAACTATTTAAAAAATGTTAACAGAAGGTATATCAGCTTTTATCACACCATAGCACACTTTGGTTTGCTTTCACTGTTCATAGTAAATTATATATGCAATATTGTAGGAATAAGTTCACACCAAAATTATTTTTCCCATGGAGATTTCAAGGATTTACATCTCCATTTTACAAATTAATGTGTTTGGAATAGCACTGGGAAGTTATTAATTTGAAGGAAGCCTGTTCTTTGAAATGAATGTGGATATTGGATAAAATAAACCAACAGTAATTTTTCGAAAAAGTTTTGAAAAGCTTATAAAATTCAAAAGTATTTGCTAAATATTGTTGACTAATTTGTGTTTTCTTTTAAATTGTTTGTGAATATTTTCAGCAACGTATTGGTAGATTTATAGAGGGAAAAATTAGCTCTTATCAATAACCTTAACATTTATTTACCTATGGTAATGTGAACTGTTGCACTTGCCTGCATATTGAGATTATTATGCCTTTACTTTTTTTGTTACGTAGATTTTTTCCTTTTTACTTTTGTTTTTAAGTTGACATTCCATGCGAGAATCTGCACATTAGAAATGATAGGGCATATTTTGCACTGCCGTCAAAGTGTTTTATATAGTTATTTTTAGAAGAAATGAATGAGTGTGATAGTATGTGTATATACACATGTAGAGATAAGTAGATATCTATTTATCTCGGAAAATGGCAGCATAACTGGATATTTGTGATTATGAAGATGTAAAAAAATATATAATAGTTTTGAAATGCTATTACTTCAGTACAATTCATTTCAGCATTTAATGAGAGAACTGCATATATATGATTAAGTTCTACCAGGATGTAAATACGTCCAGTTGTGTCTGATTTGCTCAGTGCTAAGTCAATGGCCTTGCAACTTAATATTAGAGGAAAAAGAAATGAGATACTACATTTTTTTAGGAGTCATTTTATTTTCTTCAGTTATCTATCATACAGTTACTGATATATCTTGGAAGATATGTACAGTAATGATATTTGACAATCAGTGATCATAGATATGCGGAAATCAGCCGTTTTGAAAGCACAGTACTAATTGAACACTGCTAAAAGTATGCGTTGTATAAAACAGGAAAATAAACAGATAGTGTGAGGTTGAGTTTAGTGTGAAAACTTTTGTTAATCATTTTGCCTAAACTGTGGGGAATTTAGAGCATGACCTTTAGATAAGAAGCAACAAAAACTATGAAGGAAGTAACTTGTAATTGTAAAAAGGAAATGTAATACTTGGGAATCTTCAAGGAAATCATTACACCATACATTTTTTTTTATAAAATAAAGAATACTTAGTATTTACCCAAAGCTCATGTTGATACATTTCAGTTTCATATCAGACTTGAATGTGTATTATACGAAGTATCAAGGACTAGAAGTGATGTAAATATCAAAAGTTTTTTTTTTTCTGAAAAGAAAAATTAGCACATCGCAAATGTTGCTCCTCCCCCATCCCCGTCGATATTACAGTTAAAGTTACTTTCCTTTTGCAACACCCTGTTTGTGACATTGCAGAATAAATTGTGAGATTATGTTGCTCTGACTTTCTTTATCCTAAAGCTTGATTAGTCAATGAAATGTGTAACAAATGTTAACATTACCAGGGCCAAAATAAGGGTTTTTGCATTGGAAAGGGGATGGGGTTCATGAAATGAAAACTGACAAAATGTTTATTTGGTGAAAGCTTTGAGTTCTCTAAATATTGTGAGGTTTTCAAGGTGCTATATGTTAATTGTTTTTTTTTTCTTGCCATGATTATTATTATTGTTCTTGCTTAATGAATCCTTAACAGCTGCACTGCAAAGTAAAATAGGTTGAAATTTGCCAACATGACAAACTATTCCCCAACACTTACCTTATCTATTTATCTATACATACCTTGGATCTCGGCCCTCCCTCAACTAATTTTGCAAGATGGTCTATTCCCCCCCCCCCCCCAATCCTTTGCCTGTTGTTGTGGGGGCTTAGAAGGCAAGGACTAGGACCCAATGCTGGGGATCTCCCCTACCTTGGGCCTCAGCCCTCGACTCGCCTAAATTGGCACGGTTTTTTTCCCCTCCAGCTTTTTCGTTTCCGTTCCTTCTCCAACCCCTTCAACTATCCACTTCCAATGGTGTGAGAGCCGTGCTGAAAGGATGAAAGGCTGACTTTGTTCTTAACGGCCAGAGGGAACCATGGGCACGGTATTCCCGTTTTAGTTGTCTAGCCCTTACTCCTCAAGCGGACCCTGAGAGGTGGACTGTTTATTTTCCCAACATAGTCAAGGCTTCTCATGGCCAGTAATGAAGACGTAATACCTTTAAGGATAAGTCCGATATTCGAGCCGAGCCGACCTCATGCTTTGCGATCGCTTGGCGATCATCGGAGTGAGGGAGGCCTTACTTTAGAACCTAACGTTCACCAAGGTGGGCGACAGCCAGGCTTGGCGAACGAAAGGGATCACCATCGCTGACATTTTGTATACCTGCTAAATATAGCGCATCGGGGCTGAAAAATGCGGGAAATGCAAGTTTGTTAACATCTGCAATACACAGCGTCACCATGGCAACCAGCACCGAAGTTTATCGGTCCTCTCCTTCATCCATTGTGGATAGAGATCCTTCGTGACTTCATAAATATCTTGTAGAGGTCATGTTAATTCCTTCCCTTATCTCGCCTAACGTTACGTTACCTTACCAATTAACCTCGGGAGAAAACGATGATGTTATCTCCATAATAGTCTCACTTTATACTAAAACAAAGGAGTTTAAAAAATGACCATTTTACTATACGTAACTGATATAAAATATTGAACTGTAGGGCTACAAAGGTATCAATAGACACGCCTCATTGTAGAGCGCTGGAGCATAACAGCTATGGTTCTATAGCCCGTAGTAAACATGCCATCATCAAAACATTTATGGTAACATTTGTAAAAAGAGTATTATCCCTACAACCAAAATAACAACTTAATTTACAATGTGATTCCTATATCATACACAAATGTTACTAATTTATAATCTGAAAACAAGAGCATATTCAATCACGGGAAAGGGAGGGCTCTCGCGATTTTGCTTCGTTGGGATGTTCCAATACGACTGAACGCCAACCCTGGCGTAAGAGCACCTGGCGAACACTTGCCATACGAAATTCCCGATCGCCCGGCAAAATCGAATGCCACCCCTGCTGAAAGGTTTTAAAAGTACGGACCATAGTCACTCACCGTAGTGCCCAGACACGGCGGTAACCTCCAGGCGACAATTGCAACTTCTCGCCCCTGGGCGGGGCGTGAACCGCGACCCCTCGGATGAGAGGCTGACACATTACCGCTGTTCTAGCTCGGAGGCTTATAATACTCTTATGAGGCTTGTCCCTTCATCAAATATTCCCACCAATTCTAACTCTCCCGGCTCCCCAACCCCAGGCTCTCCTTTGACCTCGACTCTGAACAATGCATTGCCGTACATTATCCACCGAGTCGAGACTCAATCTCCAGAAGACATTCCTACTCTTCCAACTTCCTCAACTTCATCACCTCTACCCCCACAACCTTCTTCATCAATTACCCCATCCTCCCTCCTTACTACCTTATAGCCTTATTCTCCATCTCCGTAATACTACCCCCCTCTTCCACGCGTCCCCGTCCTTCTACCACCCACAACTCTATTTAGCCCAGCCAAATGGGACCGATTTTTCGTGATACCCCCTACAGCTCCTTACTCAGGCAACACTCTCCTTTTTCAACAATGTCTCCAAGAGCAAGTGGGCAGAGTCCCCTTCCGTACCCGACCCGATCGTTCCCGTCTCGTTGCAGTTACATCTGAAACTGAAACTATAGCATTATCAATTCTAACATTTCTCTGGCAATCCCATTCCTGCAGAACCTCATCCAACTCTTAATAGTTGTACTGGAACTCTCTATCTCCCCAGCAAGCTGCCCTATGGATAATGATTGGTCAGATTGTGGAGAGTACTATACTCGGCTGCCTCAAAGACCGTGATGTGATATCAGGCCAGTGCTACTCCAGGTCATCGAAAGAAACCCACCAACATGGCCAAAATTACTCTCCGTACACATGACCTTCCCTTTCGTATTTATATTGGTGGACAATCCCTCCCTGTTAGACCATACAAACCTTCTCCCCGTCAATGTCAAATCTGTTGGCGCTTTGGACATCCTGCCAAACACTGCCGTTCCACAGACCGATACCCCCTATGTGCCCAACCCGATCATAATCGATCAAACTGCCCTGCACAAACACGCACATGGTCTAAGTGCGGCGGTCCCCATAATGTATTTTATAGAGGCTGTCCCGCTTACAAGTTCGAGTCTGAGTTAGCAGTTCTCAGATACAAAAATGGGCTCACTCTACGTGAAGCCAGACAGGAAGCACGTCGACAAGGTTTCTCTCATACTCCCTACTCTAGTAATGCCCCTCCCCCTCCTTCCCATGATGTTCCTACACCCTCCCCTATACTAACTTCCGCACTTCAAATTCAAATTCTTTTGCCACTCTAAATCCAGACACTCCTATCTTAACTACAGCCCCAACACCTTCTCTCCCTCCATGCCCTAACCGCAGCAGATAGACTGAATGTTCCATCCCTTCTTCTCCTACCACATACTCACCCCCACCTACCTATGCCTTTACTCCTCGAACACCAGTCTCCTCTTCCCCCCTTCTTAAGAAAATCTTTGTGTCACAAAACTCTCCAACCAACTCTACTGCAGAAACTATGGAAGATATTCAAAACTATATGCTCGAGACACAAAATGACACCGAAACCCCTCACCCACTCTTAAAGTCTACCCATCTTTGCCTCTACTCCACAGACACCGGTCTTCCCCCCCCCCCTCTTCTTCTTCATAAGAAAACCTTTGTCTTACAAAACTCTCCAACTCCACTGCGGAAACTCTTGAAGATATTCAAAACTATCTACTAGAATCCCAAAATGACATCGAAACCCCTCACCCACCCTTAAATTCCACAACTCCCGCTCCCTCCACACTCAAAGTGACTGCCGGTATCCATCCTCCTCCTACTCATATTCCCCCTACACCCCTTCCTCCTAAGCCTCACCCTATAGTTGTATTCTAAATACGGCCCGAATGGCCTTAGATGATGCTGTAGAAAATTTTCAATTAATAAAATAAAAATCCAGTCTACACAGGCACGAATAAAGATGAGCTCCTCACGACAGGTTTGATCGATCTGCCCAAGTCACGACTTCCTAGGTCGTCCCACAGTCCTCCTCTACTCAGGGCTGCCTCGTACAGAGACAACCTGGTGGGCAGGATCATCCTGTGGGAAGCGAGCCAGGTGGCCGTATAGCCTGAGTTAGCGATCACGGATTGTACAAGTAACAGGTCCTGTGCCAGTCTCACAGTGCAACCATTGGTTGCACTGTGAGACTGACGCAAAGACCTATTTAAAAAGGCATCAAGACGAGACTTCAAGGCACAGGATAACATCCAGGTTTCTACATATATATAAACTTGTATATATATACATACATATATATATATATATATATATATATATATATATATATATATATACATATATGTGTGTGTGTGTGTGTGTGTGTGTGTGTGTGTGTGTGTGTGTGTGTGTGT